TTAGTCACCATTATTGGCTCTTTCTCTGACCAAGGAGACTGTCTTTAAGTACTTCCTTACCCTTTCCGTTTGCTTCCATTTTTGTGGTGGGGCAATTGTGTTGTTTGAAAAGAATGTTGCTTTTTAGCTAACTGCTGGATTGTACTGTACCAACGTGTAAAAAATAAGGCTGTAATGATAAACCCAACAATTATAATTATAACAGTATGCATTATAAACTCTGCTCTCCTCAGTGGTGTTGCTGTTAGTTGTTAGAAAGAGGTGTCCTGGAATCATGCTCTTAATTAAGTTTATCTTAAATATCATTAATACATAGATCTCTCAAAAGGAATGGGAAAAAAAAAAACCTGCTTTTCCTTGTGTTTCAAATAAGCCAAGAGAGAGCTATTAGTATGGTACCTGACAAATAAACATTAGTACTGGGAATACAAAAAGAGGCAAAAGATAGCCCCTACCCTCAGGGATCTTACAAACTAATGGGAGAAACAACATGCATACAAATGTACACAAAGCAAACTATATACAAGATAAAGAGGAAATAATTAATAGCATAGGAACTAGAATTAATAATTGGGTAAGGCTTCAGGTAGAAAGTGAAATTTTAATTGGGACTTAAAGGAAGCCAGGGAGGTCTGTAGTCAGAACAGGAGAAGAGGATGGAGAGCCTTCCTTCCAGGCATGGTGGATTGCCAGAGAGAATGCCCAGAGCAAAGACAAGGGAGTATCTTGTTCTTAAGACAGCTAGATAGCCAGTGTCACTGGATCAAAGAGTATGTGTCAGGAAGTAAAAGTGTAAGAAAACTGGAAAGGTAGGAGGAGGCTAGATTATGACGGGCTTTCAGTGCCAAACAGAGCATTTTGTGTTTGCTACTGGAGAAAATAGTTCAGTTATTTCTCAGGCATGTCTGACTCTTCATGACCCCATTTGGAGTTTTCTTGGCAGAAATACTGGAGTGGTTTGCCATTTCCTTCTCCAGCTCATTTTACAGATGAGGAAACTGAGGCAGACAGGGTTAAGTGACTTGCCCAGGGTCATACAGCTAGCAAATGTCTGAGGCCACATTGGAACTCGGGAAGAAGATGAGTCTTCCTGAGTCCAGGCCTGGCACTCCATCCACTGCACCACCTAGCTGCCTTCTGGAGAAAATAGGAAACCACTGTGGACCATGAACCCCAATTTGAAACAGTCTGCTCTAAGAAAGAGACAAATGAAATTGGGGTACATGTGTCCACAGTTTAATTTCTCAAAGTGGGTTGACATGCATTGCATGGAATTTCAGTCTAAAACTGGCTCGGTTTGGGATTTTGGGGTACATCATTATATGCCCTTCAAAGAGTAGTTGTTCCCAAAGGGGTACCAATCAACCATGATTGGTCAACATACTAGGAAATGGGTGGGTTCCTTAGATCACTCAGTCCACAAAGAGAGATATTGCTGGCCATCAAAGGAAATGCCACCCCCATTCTTGGAAGTCTGTCTCCGTCCAAACCTGAGTAGATAAAATCAGTTCAGGCCTGGGTTGGAGTTTGACCAAGATAAGAAGATTCTATGCAATTTTATTATCAGAGATGTCCTTCTGAAGAGCTTTGAAGCAGAAGGCTGGCAGGGAGGAGCTCTAAGTCTCCAGGATACAAGATACCTAGGAAAATCATTTTTAACATCACATAGTAGGCACTTAATAAAATTTTATTGACTGACTAAAGAAATATAATAACAAGATACATGTCCTCACACACACACACACACACACACACACACAAATGGAAATTATATGGAAATTATTATTTTAGAGTTTCTTTTTTGTTTTGGTCTAAACTTACAATTTCATTGATATTAGGAACTCCTTGTGGGGAAACTCCTAATTCAATTTAGAGAACTTAATTGTCTGGGACATTGAGAAGTTGTGACTTGCACAGGATCAGATTGCTAGAATATTAGAAGCAGGATTTGAATCCAGGTCTGCTGAATCTGAAGCTGGCTCTACCCATTATACCTTTTAGCAGAATTAAGTGATTTATAAAAATTGAATATTCAGAATATTGGAGAAGAACCAATGCCCTGAATAATATAAAAATCATTTATGTTGGGCTTTAGTATATGTTTTGTTAGTTACACTTTAATATGAGTATGCCGCATGACAGTGGATAGAGAGCCAGCCTCAAAGCTAGGAAGACTTGGGTTCAGGGCCCACCTGAGGCATGCTTTGTGACCCTGGACAAGTCATTAACATCTCAGGCCTCTGAGCAACTCTCAAAGATACCAATTGGCAGAGAAGGTGCCAGCCTACATTAGAGAACTCTCTATACCAATCACTGTCCTTATCCCCTATGTGGTTCTATATGATTTAGGGTTTCTCTGTACTTCAAGTAAATTTGTAAAATCACACTGAGAAACACAGATTCATAAAGTATCAAAGTTGTGCTGCTTAAGTATCCTGCCTCCTTGCTTAGAACACTTCACCCCTTTACTAAATGTAACATGAGCTTCCAAGCTGAAATTTGTTCCTATAAAACTTCCTGAATTTGATCTAATAGCTTCTCAGCGTTGGGGAAATTTAAGTATTTTGGTTAGAAAGGGTTTCCTGCTGGGCTGCAGTCTGCTTGGTGTAAAAGAAGGGAAAGTAAAAGTAAATAAGAAATAATGAGTATTATCAACAAATGACTTTTTATAATCCCCTTTGCTTAATTATATTGTGACATTTGCCATATGTCAATACAATTTTCAAGTTCACATTTAGATTCTTCTATTGTGTGAGTCAGTCATGATAATAAGAATTGACCCATGTTCCCAGGACCTAATTAAAATTAAGGAGTGAACCTAAAATAAATTAAAATATAATATATAGAATTCTGTCCCTTTTTTCTTCGTTACTTTTTGCTTGACTTATATTTGGATCTTGTTGGGGGGGGCAAAATATTGAATTACTTTCTCCTAGGCAGATAGATATTTGATTTTCTTTACTTTTTGTTTGATTTGCATTTAGATCTGTTTGGAGGATGAGGGGGTGAGGAATTATTGAATTACTTTCTCCTAGGCAGACAGATATTTGTGATTTTAGCCTAATGTAGAAGGAAAGATTATTTGGACGGATGTTTAACAGAAATGAGCAGTAAAGAGATGAGAGCTATGTATATGTAGATAAAAACTAAATAAAGACTAGCTTCACTTATCATTGATACAGGGACAGAAATAACTAGTCTTAAATGACCAGAAATCAATCAACTTTCTTACTCATTCACTGTTATAGGAGACAAACATAGGTAGCAGGTTGTTTGAATGAATGCTTAAAATACAAGTTACAAATAAAGTAAAAACCACATTTCTTGAATAGAATCTTTCTCTAGGAACATAGGATTGAAAGCCAGTAGGAACCTTTGAAGTTATCTCATTCTGTTCCCTAGTTTTAGAGATATGCAAACTGAGGCCCAGTAGAATATGGTAACAAACAGTGAAATGGGAAAAAAGTTAATAGCATCAAAAACAAACCCCCAAACAGGCAGATTTTTAAAAAGTCTAATTATCTTCTAGATAAGTAAATTGATGGTTATTAACTTTTATCTGTTTACACTCATTTTTATATCATGCTGTCTCATTATAAAGCTATTCTTAATAACTTTTCATAAACAATTGTGCTATGTTAATATAATTGTGAACTTTTAATTTTTTGTTATTGTTCAGTTATTTTCAGTTATGTCCCACTCTTCATGATTCCATTTGGGGTTTTCTTGGCAGAGATACTGGAGAGGTTTGCTATTTCCTTCTCCAGCTCATTTTACAAACTAGGAAACTAAATCAGACAGTTAAGTAACTTGCCCAGGGTCACATAGTTAGTAAGTGTATAAGGCTGGGTTTGAACTCAGGAAGATGAGTCTTCCCAGCTCCAGGCCTGGCACTCTATCCACTGTGTCACCTAGCTGCCCAAACATTTTGATAGCTGTATTTTAAAAAGTAAACCTTAAAATAAATGCCCAACACAATTGTTTTATAATCATTCAAAAGGATTATACATAATCCTGTTGAAATTCATTCAGATGTATATATTTAGCCTAGAATTTGGAGATCCATTCTTTATCTGTAGCAGTTAGGCATATAGTTACCCTCAAATTCTCAAAGATTTTGACAATGTCTCTAGATTAGTATAAAACAAAAAGTCACTTGCTTTTTTTTTTTTATATGTCCCTTTAATTCCTGTTTGGGGAGTAAAACATGAGTAACATAAATCATCGGTGTTTTTTATTCCTTAGCTTTTGACTTCAAAAAGCTTTTGCCTCAAATTTTGTATATATTTATACACACATATACATATTTGCACACAAGACTAGGAAGTCATGTGGGTGACATTATCTGGATTATTATGAATAGATTCAATCACCCAGGAACTGAGGTACTACGAGAAGCAGAATGGTTGGTAAGAAGTGGGGGGGAGGGGACCTAATATTGAAAACAAAACAACACAAGAAATTAGTATTTGAGAATGCACATTGATCTGATGAGGACCTTTTCTTGTGGTAATAGAGCTCATGTCAAATTATAGAGCTTTGAAATTTAGCCAACCACAAAGTTCTTTTTCAATCTTGTCTCTAAAGTTCCACTTGATGTTTGGGCCAAAAACAACCTAAATTTAATTAAAATTTTTAAAAACTCTACTTGGTTTTAGACATCACATCATAAGAGAAGAACCACCTGCACCTTCTAAATGAGTTGCTGGCTCACTAACAATGCGGATTAGACAACTGATTTTATTAGCCCCACTGGCTATGTTTTCGCTTTGAGAAAGGAGATTAAGCTCTGTTGTGACTTGTGGATGACAAGTAAAGAAAATGTCATCCTGCATCCTTTACCTGCTAATAATTATGTTAAAGCATATTCAAAATATTTGTGTATTTGCACATTTACAGATAATTGAATAAATTAATTCAACCTCTTTTAGCTTTACTAGAACCTTGAATACTGGAATTAGTGGTTCCTAAAATGCCCTTCCTTCCTTCTCTTTCTTCAGTGGGATTGGTCGAAATTGGCCTTGGGCTTCTGGAGGAAGCAGTATTCTGGCAGAATTTGGAACCTTGCATTTGGAGTTTGTACATTTGAGCCATTTATCTGGGAATCCAGTCTTTGCTGAAAAGGTGAGAATCCCCAGCAAAACCTGTATTTCAAAAGCAACAAACTCGAGAAATAATTTTTTCCTAGAGTTTTGGGCATTGTTATGTATCCTATTCTTAAAAAAATATATATTTAGGTGGTGCCCTATGACGACGGGTTAAAGAAACCAGGGATGTCTAATCTATTCAAGAGAAGGCTGCTGTCATCTCCAGGATCAAATACAAAATCCTCTTTTTAGCATTCAAAGGCCTTCATAAACTATTCCCCAACCCCATTACATTTTCAAGCTTTGTCTTATACCTTACCCCTCCCCCCACCATGTATTCTTTGATCCAGTAACAGTGGCCTCCTGGCTGTTCCATGAAAAAACTACTCCACCTCTCAGCTCTGGGCATTTGTCAGGATTGTAGTCAGGATTCCTTTTGGGTATGGGCTTAGCCTAGGTGGCCACCAAGATCCCTTCTAACTCTGAGATTCTGTGATTCTTTTGATTTCCATAAAGCAGAGGTACATTTTGGGATTAAATAGTAATTACTTAATTAGCATTTACCAACATGATATTTTTGGTTAATCAGCCCTCAATTTCTTGTGAGAAGAAGCCATTTTTCATTTCTTTGGGAAGAACAAGAATTTTCCAAAGATTTTGGACTTCTGCTTCCCTTGAATAACACTGGCAAACCCCTTGGAGCAAGGCTTCTTAACCTGGGATCCACAAAACTCCACCATGGATAGATCTCAGGGGATCCATGAATTTGCATGAGAAAAAAATTACATCTCTTAATTTTCTAACATTTGGCTTCCTTTGTAATCTTGTCTTTTATTCAGTCAAAAACATTATTCTGGGAAGAGTTCTATAGGTTTCAGCAGACTGTGAAAGGGTTTATGACACAAGAAAAGATTAAGACCCCTTCCTTAGAGTAAGAAGAGTTAAGCGAAGTAGGAAATGAGAGCATCCATAGACTTAGAGGTTTAACAGATAACCCCTTCCTGGTTTGCCAATAAAACCTTGACCAGAGTTATCCTGCTGATTAACTATAATTTGGGGAGGCAGCATGGCATAGTAAACCGAGCACCCTGAGTCCAAATCCTACAAGTTCATGGTCATTAACAACTTGAGTGTACAGAGTGGCATCTGAGTTGGACTTGAAGGAAGCCAGAGAGTCTTTAAAAGGAAGAGGTGAGGAAGGATGATATCCCAGGCCTGGAGGACAATTTGTGCAAAACACAGGTAGGAGATGGTGTTGAGTTTGAGGAATAGTAAGTAAGTCATTTTGTCTGGGCTGTAGAGTGAGTAACAGGGCAAGTAATAAAAAATAAGGCTAGAAAAAATGGGTTGGAACTAGATAGCAAAGGATTTCAAATGCCAGAGTAAGGATTTTCATTTTATCCTAGAGGGAGTAAACAACTACTAGAGATTTTAGAGAAGGAGAGAGAGGGAGTTAGAATTGTGTACTAGGAAAATTATTTTGACAGCTTTATGGAAGATGGATTGGAAAGGACAAAGACTGGCAGCATGAAGACCAATCTGGAGGTTATTTTAGTAGGCCAGGTGATGATTTGATGAGGACCTGAATAAGAGTAATGGTCATGTGAGTAGAAAGAAGAGGTTGAAAGGAAGAGATGTTGTAAAGGTACTTTCAAAGAGTCTTTACAATTGATTGAATGTGGGGGGATGAGGGAGAAGGAAGAGTTGCAGATGGCCCTAAATTTGCAAACCTGGGCCACTGAAAGTACAGTGTTAGCCTCAAGAAATGGGGAATTTTTGGATGGCTGTGTGGGAAGGAAAGAGAGGGATAAAGATAGAAATCTATATGATTTTTTTAAAAAGATATCTATAAAAACATTATAAAATCAATAGGGAAGTTTGGAAGAAGAATGAGTTTGGAGTTGGGAAAGTTATGTTCTGTTTTGAACATATTGAGCATGAGATGAGACGTCTAGATAGAGATGTCTACCAGGCATTTGCTGTAGGACTAGATTTCAGTTAGGACTTCTTGTTCCTAGAATCAAGATTAGTGATTCCTAGATAGTGAAATCCTAGGAAGAATACTATTCCAAGAATCAGGTCCTAGTCTTGGATATGCCACTAATTACCTATGTGGCCCTAGGCAAATCACTTAGCTTTTCTACTACAATTTCCGCATTTGTTAAATGGGGTTATTAAAAATTTCCCATATACATCATAAGATTATTATGAGGATCCAGAGGTGGGAGCAGGGTGTATGTGGAAAAGAGAAGAACATAAAAGCCATTTGAAAAGTAATGATGTAGTATAGAAAAATAATTATAAACTACTTTTACATGACTTTCGAAGAGTTTTTCTCACAAAAGTTCTTTGTGGTATGTGTATTTGTATCCCCATTTAATTTTATCATCAAGGGAACTGAGGCTCAGAGAAGTTAAAAAACATATCTGTGGGAATGGATGGACGGATGGATGGATGGATAGATAGATAGTATTCCTTCAAGAAGGTTACATTGCAATATGAAAAGATATATAAAAAGGAGAACTAGAAAATGGAAGGAGTGAAAAGAAGGAATGGTGGGGAGACTTCAGTAATGGGAAATAACATTGTAGTCCATTTCCCTGGCATCATTATTATCATAATTATGATAACTAGCATTTATATAGCTCTTTAAGGTTTCTAAAGTGCTTTACATATACTATCTCAATCCTCACAACAACCCTTTGAGATAATTGCTACCATTATTTCCATTTTACAGATAAGGAAACTGAGGCTGAGAGGTTAACTGACTTGCTCAGGGTCACACAATTATTAAGTGTCTGAGTCAGGATTTGAACTCAGGTCTTCCTGACTCCAAGTGCAACAGGTCTGTGGCACCTACCTACCTCTAACTGAGTCAGCAATGTTGCCTCTAGATAGACAAAAGGCTTACCTATCAAAGCCATTGGAAGCCAAGAATGGAGGCCTAGTTTCTGGTAAGGGGAAGATGGAGATTAAGGCCTTGTTGGGGAGATTCAAGAAGTCACATAGCTATTAAGTGTCAAAATCAGAATTTGAACTCAGGTTTTCCAAATCTAGGCCCAGATTCTGACAATTATGACATCTGTAAATTTTGCCATTTGTGCAGCAAAATGGCCTTACATTTTCTGTTTTCTCTGACAAGAATTACCTTTGGACTGGAAAGGACAGAACAAAAATGGCCAAAAGGAAGCTGATACCTTATTTAAATAAAGAGGTAGTAAGAAACTCTTCTTGAATTCGGGTCACCTGACCCACATGACCTACATCCTTGGTTCCTAAAAGACTGGTTAGATGTGATTTCTGAGCCACTAGTCAATGATATCAGAAAGACTTTCTAGACTCAGTGGGAAAGATATTGTAGCAGTAACCTCCAGTAGAATGTAAATTTTTTTAAAATAATGACTCTTTTTTTTCTTTATATCCCTAGCCTCTAGCACAGTGCCTGGCACTGTTTTGAACTGAGAAAAGGGCAAATATCTCAATTTTCAGGTGGCAGATTTTCAGATGACAGAAAGCTGGGAGCATGGGGGTGGTTAAAATATACTGGGCAACAAATTCAAGATTGGGAAAGATTTTGAGAACCTAGTACATTGGGCTGAATCTAGTAAGGGAAGGGGAAGGAGGGAATGAAATATGCATTTATACAACACCTATTATGTGCCAGGCATTGCACCAAGTGCTTTTATAAATATTTATCTTATTTGATCCTCACAACAAGCCTGTAAGGTAAGTACTGTCATTATCCTTACTTTACAGTTGAGGGAACTGATGCCAAACAGAGGTTAAATGACTTGCCCAGGGTCACACAGTCAATTAAGTGTTTGAGACCAAATTTGAACTTCTTCCTGGTTCCAAATCATGCACCACCAATTGCATCCAATAACAAAATAATATTTAATAGGGATAAAAATCTTTCATTCGAGTTTTTAAAAATTTGACTTTATGAGCACAAAACGAGGGAACCATAGTTAAACAAACATTAGGAAATGATATGAGAGTTTTAGTGGATATAGAATGAATCAGCACACACACTTTTTCATTGTATACAGATCCATTTATTCATCAAGCACTTATTGAGCACCTTCTGTTTACTAGTTTCTGAATATATGAATACAAAAATAAAACAGTCCCTGCTCTTAAGGGGTGTATGTTGTTTTAGGAGAAAATAACATGTACACAGATAAATTAATACAAACTGTGCAAAGTAATTTCATAAGGGAAACTAGCTTTTGTATACAGTACAGTTTATTATAAACTGACACTGTTGTTTTCATAGAATACAGATGAGTCTGTCCCAAAACAATTCACTCTATGAAAGGACTTTGTATTAAGATGGCATATGATGGAAAATCTAGCCTTTTGTTAACCTTGAGGTTTAAATTTCATGTTTGACTTATGTGGAGATTCTAAGTCAACATTAAACGATGTGACAGTCATTGTCATTGCTAATAAATAAACTGATTGTTTCAGCCCAATTACTTATTAGTATCTCCTTTTTTAAAAAAGTAGCAAAATTAACAGTCTTCTTTGCAATGTAAATAAGAACCATGCAAACAAAATTGACAATTAACTTTCTTTTAGAACAATGTTGTCATTAAGACATTTGAATTGATAGGTCTTTTATTTTTTGTATTAAGAATGAACCAGGGGCTTAATCCTTGATATTTCATTCTATACTACTTAAATGAGTTTTTTCCTAAAAAATGCAAACATTCAATTTATTTTTAGATAAAAATATGAGTTGTGTACTAGTTTCATTTTGTAATTTATGCTATATAGAGGAAAGAGCACTAGATAGTAAGTCAGAATAGGCTCAACCCTACTCCTTATTAGCCCAATGATTTGGGCCAAGTCATTTTACGTCTTGAAGCCTTAGTTTCCTTATAGGTAAAATAAAGTTGGGCTAACTTTATTAGTTAACTAAACTAATCTCTTCCAGCTCTGAAGATCAGGCATTCTAAAATTTCAATGTTTTGTTTTAGGTGTTTGGAATTCGAAATGTTCTGAACACACTGGATAAACCACAAGGCCTTTATCCCAACTATCTAAATCCCAATAGTGGACAGTGGGGTCAACGTAAGTCAAGAACATGTATTTTTGTAATTATTTTTATCTCCCCCATAACTAACCTGGGTAGGTCTAGAAACTGTGGGTGATTAAAAAAAAAAAAAACCTGTTAATGGTTAAAATGTTCAGAGGAATATGGAGAAGCCACAGATTTGGATGTTTATGAACCTTGTAGTCTAAATGGGATTTTTGAAATTCATATTACCTTATGAAAAAGGAAAAGCCAGGCTATAAAAAATTGCCCACTTTCTGAATTTTTAATGTTTAATGATTAATGGTAAATGTTGTTATGCAAATTTCAGGTTTCAGAAAAGGAGAGGTCATTCAGAAGAGAGTGATTTTTCTCTTCCCTTTATATTATTAACTTGCTTTGAGCTCCTTTCCCTCCCCCTCATTAAAAAAAAAATTCAGATCACCTAAACCTTGGTAGGTTGGATTTTTCCATGAACAAAATGAAGTAAAGGATTAATGGGCTTCATGCTTAATTTTTAAGAAGTTTGTGAAGGAGGTTGTCTTTTGCAGTATTCCTTAGTTTGTTAAATATTTATGGTGTCTCCTTGATTTGTCTTCTTATAATGAGTTTGATTTCTTTTTCTTTTCTATTCTTTTTTTTTTTTTTAGCATTTTCTTCCTTTTCTTTTATTATTATTCTGAGATACCACTCTGTGCTAGTCACTAATATTCTAGATTCATTTGTTGGCTTTGATGCCCAAAATAAGAGGCTCTATGCCTTTTGACAGAATAATCATCACTCTCTTGTTTGACATAATGAATACTCTTCATTGGGGAATTTGTCATAGAAAAAGAAAAATATTTGAAAATGGAATGCATAGCCCCTTTCTCATTTTCTTCTATGTATGTCTTCTATCTTACTACATTTATTTGCTCAAATTTTTAAAAACATGGAAACAGACTATTCTGTCATCAATAACTAAAAAGAAATACATGGTATTCATGATGAGTTATATTAACAATATTAACTTCAGAGCAATGTATTTCTGCTAACTTAAATTGGTAATTAAGTAAGTAAATTAATTAGACTATGTTTTAAAAGATGCCCAAAATTTTTTTTTAAAGAATAAACATTTGGTAAATATGTTTAGGACTACAAAAAGTCTACACAAATCAAATGAAGTCGATAAGAATTAAAAAGATGAAAATATTACATTGTCTCTTTTTAAAAAAATCAATTTCAATTGCAGTCTTTTCTCTGTTTAAGGTATTAGGAACCCATCCTCAAATACTCACCCCATGCTTAAGAGTAATTTTATGGAGCCTGATCCTATCAGGAAAGAATAAATTACTCTATTCTGCGAAGGACATTAACTTTCATGCTCTTAGAGTACCAATATAGTGAATTTGGGCATGAAAATTGATGTTCCTTCTAGAAACAGGCAATCCTTTCTCACTGATAGGATCAGTGAGTTATCTCCTAGGTCCACTAATATGTTTACACAGAAACATTGTCTACAAAAACAATCACCCAAATGCAGAGTGGAGGAAGATTCCTAGGTTTATTGAATTACCAAAAAAACAGCCTCTTACTTTTTCCTGTTTCTATCATTGTGATTAATTCTCTCCAGATATAAGGATGTTCATGGTTGAAGAAGATGGAAAAGTCAACCATGGTGATTTCCAAAATGATTTAAGGAATTTCTCTCATCAAATCATATAGCCATTCCTTTTTTGTTTTAATCCCCAAGTGATGGGATGTGCACTTTCAATATATCGATTGGTTGATTAGTTTGGCTGAACATTTATTTCTTTGCTTCCTCTTTTTTGTTTTTGTTTATAAGGAATAGCTCTCTGGGAGGGGGCATAAAGGGGAAATGTAGGGAATATTAAAACAAAAGTTTTAATAAAAATCAATGACAATATGCAGAGGAGAATATAAGGAAAGGTTACAAGGTAACACAGACAGCCAAGACATAATTGAGACTATTGTGTTGAGTGATACATTTTTTTAAAATGGCACATGGTAGAGATTAGGTTTGATATACAATCCTTTTTCTGTTCTTTGTATATTGAGGTGTTTGTTAGGTGTTTATGTTTGTTGTGTGTGTGTAAGTAATACTTACTATTACTATAAGTAATGCTCAGACTAGGTTGTAGTAGTCTCAGGAACATCACTCCAAGAGTGAAAAAAGTCAAGCTTCTGACTTGCTAGTTTTTAATTACCATGGCTATACTTAGGAAGTGCAGAGCTGGACCATTGTCGTTGTTCCAGTAAATTCATTTAGTCCTTATTGTTTTGACAGTAACTGGATGGTGATTTGCTTTAGCATGCATCAATTGGATTTGTCTCTTAAAATAATGTTTATAATAACAGGACTTATTATTGATGAGATTGTGGTTAGGCTGTTTAGTTTGCAAATGTCAGGGATTTCTATGGTGATTAATTTAGTAAACTTTAAAGGTCAGTTCAAGCTATTATTCAGAAAGAACCTTCTAGTATTGAAAACAGACTTCTAAACATTTAATACTGTTTTGGATTCTCAGTCAGCAAAACTATCTTTTGACTAAGTGAAAATATAAGTCCTACCTAGAAATTGTATTTTCATTTTCGTAGGTATGGTCCTTACTTGAAGCTGATTATAAGTTTTCATAACTTGGGTAATGGTAGCATATAAAAGAAAAAAATATCAGTAACTACACTTTAATATTCATTTACTGGTTTCATGAAACCAGCTCTTCCATACAGGCAAGAAGCAGAGCATTTCACAGGAAAGATTTAATAAAATGTTTTAATATTTCAAACTTAAGTTACTCTTAGCTTACCTATGAATTGTAAGAGTGATTCTTTAAGTGCATAATTTTTATAGTGGGGGAACAGACAAAATTGAAAGTAAAAGCATGAATTTCAAGTCAAAAACCAAAACATTTGGTTTTATAAATAGTAAAAGTCTACCCCAATACGTAACCTGGGGCTCAATCTTCATATATTAATTGTGTTTTCTGTGATACCATGCAGAAGTTCCTGAACTGAATATATGCGATGTTGTTGTTGCTTTGTCTTTTCAGTTATGTCTGATTCTTCATGACCCCATTGGGTTTTCTTGGCAAAGACACTGGAGTGGATTGTGATTTCCTTCAGCTCATTTTACAAAGGAGAAAACTGAGGCAAACAGGGCTAAGTGACTTGCTCAGGGTCATGTAACTAGTAAATGTCTGAGGCTGGATTTAAACTCTGGTCTTCCTGCCCAGTTCTCTATCCACTGTGCCACTTAGCTATGGAAATAGAATCAATAATAATCCAATAATCCTTCTCTTCATGCCAAGCCCTCATTCATTCATGTAGGAGGAATCCATTAAAATATAATATAGAACAATTAAATACATTTGAAATAAAGATTTACATGGAGAAAAATGATAGCAATATTTGATTTTTTTTTATTTCCACAAGTTAAGCAATGGTAACAGAAATTTCCTTCCCAAAGGACATCCCAGCCTGTGGACTGGCTGCATGGCTTTAGGTGTGACTCAAATTTTTTTTAGCAGGTACAAATTTAATTTGGCAAAAGGCTGAGGAGACGTGAGTTGTTTTTTTTTTAATATAGAGTGTTAAGAACAAGATTATATTTATTTACTTAAGATTAAGCCACTGCTAGCTCCAGGCTTACATTGACAAAACCATCATCGTAATGAATTATAGTTCCGATAATAATACATTGTATTAGTTGATAGTCATAGTTATTCATCTTAGAATATTCTTCTATAGGATTTGGTATTCTTGTTCCTGACCACTTGTGTTATATTTCCTAAATTGAAGTTTGCATCACTGTAAAATTCTTTATTTCCCAATTTCTTCAGATCATGTATCAGTTGGAGGACTAGGAGATAGCTTTTATGAATATTTGCTGAAGGCATGGCTAATGTCAGACAAGACAGATTTAGAAGCTAAGAAAATGTATTTTGCAGCCGTTCAGGTAAGCCCAATGTTTAAATCATCATGTCATACAATTCTAACCTCTAATGTTTTTGCTGAACCTGCTCTTTTCAAAAGTGAAATTATATACTTGTGAGTTACGGAATGTTGTCATTGCAGTAGAGGTCAACATTGGTTGATATACTTATAATTAGAATAATAATACTTAAAATATTTAGTCTTAGAACAGTTTAGATTTTTAGTGCATTTCAAATTTCAAAATTTGCATACCTGGACAAGGAGACAGTCTTTGTTTTATGAATAAAAGAGTTTAGGTTTGCTTTTCTTTTTTTATTACCAAGGCACAATTAAAATTCAGAAGATACTGAGTCTTGATCCTATGTTCACTGACTGGATAGAGTCCTCCAAGGTTAAAGATTAATCTAATGTCCATCTAAAAGTTTGAGACTGGTAGCTGCCCCCACTTTAAAAGGTGGCAAGTGCTTTGCCCCTTGAAGAAAATCTGTATATAAAAATCTAAATTTTATCAAATTGATAAATGAAGGCAAGTTTGTTTACATTAGAAAAGGATTGTTTTATAAAAGGATTCACCTCTGGGCTCCTTAGAAAAAGAGCTTCTTATTGCATTAAACTTTTGTTCACAGATGGAAGTCAATATCAAATTCCTTACCCGAGGCTGGTAGAGATGGGCAGGGAAGTTTAAAGCTAAACTATGAGGAATCACTGCTAATTAAAGATCAATCAGAAATTCAACTTAACATGCATTTAGGGAGTGCTTGCTGGGTTTTTCAGTGAACTCTAAGTTGCTTTGTAGGAAATACAGAAATAAATAAGAAATGGTCTAAAGGTTTTTGAAATATAAAGTCATAAGCGAAATTATTTCAAAAATACGAATTCACATGTAACTAAAAAGAACAAATCTATTGCATAAAGTGAGTAAGTCTTATCTTGCAACTTGTAAAGTTACCCACATCAAATTAAGTTATATATGGAAAGTACTTTGCAAACCCTAAGCTCTATTAAAGCTATACCAAAATGTTAACTCTTCCTAGGATATATTCATGAAGTGGTTATCACGTCATTAATTATCACAGTTTTGAATATGTTTACTATTCCTAATGCAGTAAAACAGTGCTAGGCATCTTTCAGGTATCACTTAAATATTGATCAGCTGACTATGAATTCCTCAAGCCTTGAATATTTTTTAGAAATTCTAAGTAAGACTACTGCATTGTTGGTGGACTTGTGAACTGATCTAACCATTCTGAAGAGCAATTTGGAACTATACCCAAAGGGCTATAAAATTGTGTGTACCCTTTGACCCAGCAATAGCACTTCTAGGTCTGTATCCCAAAGAGATCATAAAAATGGGAAAAAGACCCACATGTACAAAAATATTTATAGCAGCTCTTTGTGTGGTGGCCAAGAATTGGAAATTGAGGGGATGCCCATCAATTGGGGAATGGCTGAACAAGTTGTGGTAAGTGAATGTAATGAATACTATTGTGGCATATGAAACGATGAGCAGGCAGACTTCAGAAAAACCTGGAAAGACCTGTATAATGTGATGCTGAGTGAAATGAGCAGGAGCAGGAGAACATTGTACACAGTAACAGGCACATAATTCCATGACTTATTCTGATAGACTTAGCTCTTCTCAGCAATGCAAGGATCTAAGACAACTCCAAAAGACTCATGATGGAAAATGCTGGTCACATCCAGAAAAGGAACCTTGGAGTCTGAATGCAGATGGAAGCATACTATTTGCTCTCCTTTTCTTTTGTTGTTTTGTTTTATTTCTTCTTTCTCGTGGTTCCTCCCACTAGTTCTAATTCTTCTATACATCTTGACTAATGTAGAAAATATACTTAATATGAATGTAAAAAAGAAAAGAAATTTTAAGTGAGAATTAGTAGGGGAAAAGTGGTAATTTCACTGAAGTAGAACTGAATACATAATCAAGAATGAGTAAGCATTGTTTTAGCACTGTGTCTAAACAGTCTAATGGGAAAACACTGTTAAATGCTTAGATCAGTCTGGTGTCACTAAAACTTGCCCTTGTGAATTAGTCATATGGATTAGGTGTCACTTTCTGATATGTTGGTCAGTCAGTAAGCATTTATTAAGTGCCTACCATGTTTCAGGTACAACATGACTTTAAATAAAAAATAAAACAAGATCATCCAGTTTTGTAATTATATCCCAAGACTAATGAATAACTGGGCACCTCTTAGATTAACCAGAGAAAAGTAACTTTTTGGTCCAAGTACAAGTTGGAAGCTGCGGCACTAGAGTTAGAATCCATACCACAAGAAATCATTCAACAAGATTTACCAAAGGCCTAATGCACACAGGATCCAGCTAAATGACCATGAGGATTGTCCTGGTCCTTCTCCTCTTTAAGCTTTTAAGAGGTCAGATTTTAACCTAGAACAGGGGTTTGTAATCCAGGTGCCTTCTCAAAATAACCTTTTTAAATAATTGAAAGAAATTATACATTTCAGTTTAGAGCTTAGTAAAAAAATGAGATTGTAAATTTTTTCCCATTTAAGTTCACAGATCCCAGGGGTTACTATCCAGAACCTTTCTTTGTATAATGATGTTGGTCCATTAGACATTGGTAAAGAATAGAAAGAGATACTTTATTAACTAAAGGCTATATTATTAGTGAATCACTTTTGGGAACCATTGATATAGAAATCCTTCTTATGGCTTCCTTTATGCCACACTCTAATTATTCTTGTAATAGGCTGCTTGAATATTCCAAGTTGAGTTGTTTTAATGTTCTAAGAAAGGCACCTGACAGTTTTGCAATGTTCTTTTAAAGGAAAATTTGTTTCAAATCACCAGAATTGTACCCCACAATTTATAATTCATTCCCTTTAGAGAACTCATTGACAGGAAAAACTCGTTAAGAAGAAATCACACAAAAATGTTTCATTTTTCTCTTAACAGTTAAAACAAATTCTCAATCCATTCAATGCTCTAGTTAGGAAGCCAAACTATAATAATTAAGCTCCTAGTTTTGAAAAGCAGCATTTGTCTTAACAGAAGTGTTACCAAATTGCACTTACAGCATACAATGATCATTGTCAAGGTGATATATACCTAAAATTCTGGTGGACACAAACTTGTAATAGAAAGAATTAGCCTTAGGGGAATTATATTTAGAGCTTTCTGGTATTCAGAGTGCAAGTGTAGGAAAAAACTAGTTGGATCAGATTTGCCAGCATTTTGCTTGCCTCAGTTTCAAAATAAAATTTGGCAATTGCTTGGTCCTATAACCGTGTATTTGTTTTGGTTATTTTAATACATTTCTTGAAGCCTCAAACTTACTGTCTTCTGATTATTGTCCTCACTAGCCACTTCACTGGCATTATCAGCATGACATGACTCTGTCATTTAGTGAAAACATTCACTGAATGGTGCTGCAGAAAGAAAGCACATACAACTCTTCATTCTTATTCATAACATTTAGAAATTTTAAAATGTGACATTCATTCAATGATAATGTATTAAGTATTTATGTGTGGAACACTGTGCTAGGCACTAGGGGATACAAAGATAAATACACACACACACACATATATATACACACATACATATATACACACATATACACACATACATACATACACACACACACACTGTCTTTGAGAATCTTACATTCTACTGGGGAGAAAAGATGTGTACACATGAATCTAAACTGTATACAGAGTAAATAGGAAGTAATGTGGTAGGATTAGAGAAGAGATTTTAATAACTGGTAAGACTGGGAAGTCCTACATAGAAGGTAGCACTTGAGCCAAAACTTAGAAAGAAGCTGGTGATTTTAAGATGCAAAGATGGGAGATAGGATGTATGGAGATCAGCAAGACTGAAACACAGGGTGTATGAAGGGAGGGAATCTACAATACAGCACAGTACCTGTTTTGCACAGACACATAGTAAATACTTAATCATTAAAGTTAATCACTGATGCCTGAAAAGATAGCCTTGAGGCACATTGGGAAAGGATTTAGTGGTTAAAAAGAAGAGTTTGTGTTTTATCCCAGAGTAGGGTTCTTAGCCTTTTTGTTTGTCCTGGACCCCTTTGGCAGTCTGATGAAGCTTATGGATCCCTTTGAAGAATAATGTTTTAAATGCATGAAACAAAATACACAGGATTAAAAAGGAAACCAAAGGTTAGTGAAGTCAGTCTCTAACTTGCTTGATAAAGCAAGCATCTACGATGTGCAAGACACTGTACTAAGCACTGAGATATAAGTAAAGGCAAAAATAGTCCCCACCATCAGGAAGCTCACAACAGTTAAGTAGTTAAGTATACACATGATATATACAGGATAAAAGAGATTTTTTTTCCCATTCTGAAACACATGGGACCCTTGATTAAAAACTTTTGCCCTGGAGACAATAGTATGCACTCACAAAATATGTGGTATCTGTTTATTTGAAATAAATTCCCTATAGTTTTTATGCAGAATGTGTGAGGAATCACTAATAACTATTTGTCTCTCTTTTTGGTTTTATTTTATTCATACACCTTAACCCCATTTTCTACTATCCCCCCACTCTCACTGCAAAAGTGGGAGGGAACCACCCAGGACCAAGAGCCATTTTGTATATTTACCTGTTACATTTGTCACCATGGCCAAAAAAAAATCATCTAGGCGAACCTAGCTAAAACCATAGCTTGTGTTCTTCTTCCTTAGCTTTAGAGAACTCAGAATCACCTTCATGATATGATATCCTAAATAATTCAAACTGTGACCGCAGAAAATTATCCACTTGTGGAACTGGTTACAGTATCATGTGATTTGGGACCTGGTAACTTGATCAGAATCATGCCAAAAAGAGCATAGGACTTTATTGAGGACCCATCACAGGACAAGAATGCATCTCTATCCATGCTCAAGCAATTACTGTTGTTATGTAGAAAGAATAATTTCTTGGATGATGAACAAGTCTCTGCTTGAAGGACTTTATTGCAGTTTGTACTGTGAGCAGTGTAAACAGCTAAGATGTTCCATTATATCAAGAGAGTATGAAATATTAATATAATACTAAGCCCTCTATAAAATTAGAATAACCACAGTTCATGAGCATAAGCATTGTTCATTCAGTCACTGCCATTTTGATTTTAGTTATGATTTGGTATACATAAAAATGTCAGGGAATAGGAAATACAGAATAAGCTTACTATGCGTCTACCCAATCTTGATTATGAACTCAATTCCATTTTAATGAACTTAAGTGCAGTATGAAGAAAATGGACCCAGAGATACATAATAAACAGCCTTCTTCACCTTTATACAAAACATTCCATCTTCTCTTTCCATACCTCTATGCATGTCTAGAATGTCCTCCCTCCTCTCTCCTCTTAGAATCCCTGGTTCCTTTCAGAGCGCAACTCAAATGCCACCTCCTACATGAGGCATTTCCTGATCCCTATCTCTAAATGTCTCTGCCTCCAAATTACATTGTATATATTTCAGATCCACTTAATATATGTTCGTATTGTCTTCTCTGATTAAATGTAATTTCCTAGAGAGCCAAGACTGTTTTGTTTTGGGCTCTGTATTTCCAGAGCCTAGCACAATTATTTGGAACCTACTAGGCTCTTTATAAGCCCTTATTGATTGATTGACCAGAAATAAAAATTCAATTAGAACTTTTTTAAAAAGTATTAATCGCTCAATTACTATGGGCAAAGTCCTGCCTCCAGCAACCTTTCCTAACTAGTAACTCTGATCATGGCCATCCAGTTCAGTGGCTCCCTACTGTCTACCAGATAATGTTCACTCTTCTTAGCCTTACTTTCAGGACTATTCATATCAAGGTTCCAGCCTTCTTTTCACCCTTATTTCATCATTATTCCCCATTTCTAACAGGAAGCACAATTCCATACACTCCCACCTCTGTGCCTTTTTCTCATACTCTTCTGGACATCTCTGATGTCACCTCTCCAACCCCTACCCCAATCTCTGATTTTCCATTTCTTATCCATTCTTAAGACCCAACTCTACTCTCCCCTATACTGTGAAATCTTTCTTAATTATCTCTTACCCCACCCTTGTGATGTGCTTTCCCTCTCCCTTTTTACTTTCATAGCACTTTGCTTGTAAAATTTATACATATAAACACATACACATGTCTGTATGCATGTATATGTGTGTATATACATATATATCTATATTTTTTTTCTTATACAATATTTTGCCCTCCTGAGGAACAATGATTCTTTCTTTTTTTTCTTTTTCTCTCTCTAAAGGTCCTATTTCAATTAAACATACAAAAAAGTACTATGAAATGTAAGTGGGAAAAGTCTTGAATTGGGAGTCAGAAGACCTGTGTTTGAATACTAGTCCTACTTGCTTACTGTGGGTATGACCTTAGGCAGCTTCTTCAGACTTCAATTTCCTTCTCTGTAAAATGAAGGGATTGGAGTAGATGACCCCTGTGATTCCGTCCAGTTCCAAATCATTGATCCTTTGTTCAAGGTAGTTTGCCATGAGGTAGGGGTACAGAGATAAAACAAATAGTCCTTGCTTTCAAGGATCTTACATTCTATTTTGGTGATACAATATGAAAGTTAAATACAAGGAATTATGTGATTAAAAATAAATACAAAGTAATTTGAAAAGAGAGTAACAGCAAATTGATGGTAGGAAGGGAGCAGCAGGGATCATAGAAAAGGAGGTTTCTGACCTGAGACTTAATGGAATATAATAATTATGAAAGACAGAAGTGAGGGGGTGTTTTCTGGACATGGGAATTACTGCCTATGAAATCATGTCAGATACAAGATCCCAACATTTAAAGCTTTTAGCAGCCTAACTCCAGCCTCCCAAGGATTAGTGTATGTTCCACTTTTTCACACACTCCCATTGTAGCCAGACTGGCACTCTTGCTTTTATTCCTCACACACAGAACATTTGTCTCCCATTTCCATGCCTTTTCACTGGCTGCTCCCCTCTGCTTCCCATGAGTGAAATGCAATGCACTTCCTCCCCACCTCGTCTTCTTAGAAGACCCAGCCCAGCTTAGATGTCACCCTCTACATGAAGTCTTTCATGATCCTCCTGTTAATTTCTCCCCCTAAAAAAAGTACTTTGTGTATATTTTGTGCATACTTAAGTATTTATGTAAAACTGTACATAATGAGATTCATGTCCCCCATGCCTGGAATGCTCTTTATCTCTACCTAATGTCTTTCCTGGCTTCCTTTAAGTTCCAACTAAAATCGCATCTTCTACAGGAAGTCTTTCCCGAACTCTCTTAATTCTAGTGGCTTCCTATTTATTCTGTATATAGTTGGTTTGAACATCTTTGTTTGCTTGTTGTCTTCCCCCATTGGAGTGTAATCTCTTTGAGGGTTAGAAACTGTCTTTTGACTCTTTGTATCCTCAGAGTTTAGTATAGTATCTGGTATGAAATAGGCACTTAATATTTATTGACTGACTTATATGATGCTCTTTTTATGTTCTTTGCGTATGGAAATGTTCATGGGGGAGTGTCAAGTTCAGAACAAATAAGTAAATAAATTAATAAGCAAATAAATGCATAAATCAGTCCATAACTCAACAGGCATTTAAGTGTATGCCTACTATATGCCAAACACCGTGCTAGGCACTAGGAGTGTAAGACCGAAAAGAAGCAGTGCCTGTTATGACAGTTTATATAATTTACTTTTAAACTCAAAATATTCCTGTTAAGAAATTTAACTCAAAGTTTATTAAAAAAAAAAAAAACTATAGTTACATAGAAGAACTATACCTGGAAACATCCCAATTTTTTTCTCATTGTAATGATATACTGCATTTCACATGCAAAGATGTTACTGACCTACCACTAGTAGGACCTATGCATTAAGTGTTGTTTTTTTTCTTTTTTTCCTAGCTGTGAGAATGGATGTGCTCTGCTCCATCATCCCATCCTTCATGGGTCCAAATCTCCCCCCACACTCCCCTATGGTCAATGGTTCTTCTTAGAAAGTCACTGAGATCAGGTTACCTCAGGAATCAGGAATGGAGCCCATCTGTAGCTAAGGAACAGAGCAAAATTAACTAGGATTGGCTGCATTCCCACCATATTCTGGTTTGATTGGAAACAAAGTAAACTAGCAATATAAAATTTCAGATCATGTTTTTAAAACTCTTTTGCTAGGTTCACAGAAATAGTTTGTTATTGTAAATAGACTAGGTACATAGTCAGAAAAACCTGGGTTCATAGCCTGCTTTTCACTCTTAAACCAGCTCTTGGACAAGTCACAATTTCTGTGTGCCTCAGACTACTCCCTATGATGGGTTGCTGACTAAATTGGATGCTATAGCTGCATTGCAATTGGAACCCAAAAAATCACAAGGGCCAAAAACAACCATTCAGTACTTTTTTTTTTTTATCCCAGAGACTTATTTATTTATATAGCTGGAGAAAGTGGGCAAAGGTTTAAATTGAAATCTTTAAAATTTAAAACTTTAAAATGAAATCTCCTTCTTAGGCCATTGAGACTCATTTAATCCGGAAATCCAGTGGTGGTCTGACCTACATTGCAGAGTGGAAAGGTGGCCTCTTAGAACACAAAATGGGTCATCTGACTTGTTTTGCTGGAGGCATGTTTGCGCTTGGTGCAGCCTGTGCTTCTCCAGAGCTAACACAGCATCACATTGAACTTGGCGCTGAAATCGCTCGCACATGTTATGAATCATATAACCGCACTGGTAAGTACCATGTTTCTCTTTCTTTGAATTCCTCTTACATGACTTTGCTTAAGTATAAGAAAAATTAACTGTTTCATTTTTAAGTATACTCACAGACCTTTTAAGTGTTCTAATTCAGACTTTAGAGCTTCAAAGACCTTTGATTTCTTAGGTCTATGTACTCACTCGCTCCCTCCATTGATGTAGATCTAAACTCATCCCTGCCTTAGTAGGCAATCTTTGTGGGCTGCTGTGACAGAAAAGAAAAATCATTAGAAGGGTAAACTCCGGTTAATGAGCTTCTCTGAATTTAGCTCATTTGATCCTTGAACAACAGACATACTGGACCCAGACTGAAATCCTTTCTAGCTTAGCTTTGGACCTGGTCATACTTTTTTTCATTGGAAAAGAACAGCCTTTGAGAAGAATCCAGGTCTCTCCCAAACAATGACAGCATTGGAGTAGGACTTCATTGGAGGTTCTAAGTTATACTCCCTAAATATGTCAACACCATTAAGCATGAAAGATAGATGACTGAATAGTTAATTATATAATACTTTCTCATCTTTTAAATTTTAATATTAAGAACTATCACATGTCACATTTGATACTAGGTTAATAAATATTGCAGTCTTCCATTCATCTCCATAAACTCATTTTCATATCATACTTTTATAGTGTACAAAGCACATTCCTCAGGACCGTCCCATGGGGGAAATATAAATATTATTAAACTTATTTCCCAGGTGGGGAAACTGAGCCTTAAAGAGGTTAAGTGCCTTATGCCCACAGCCATATGTTGGTCAGTGACAAAACTTGGACTTAAATCCGGGTTTTCTGATTGCAAGTTCAATGCTCTTTCCACTAAGCCAAGCAGCCTCTTCTTCGTCATTATTACTATCTTCTTTTTAGATATGGGGAAATTGAATTGCAGACAAGAGAAATAATTTGCTTTGGTCACAATCGGTTAGAATTCTCAGCCTCCTATCTGATGTTGACCTAACTAGGATACAATACTTCACAGTACCTTGCATACAGAACTTAGATACTCATAAATGTATGATGAATGAATGAGTGGAAAGTGAATTGTGTTTGGGGTTTGAGAGGTTTTTTGCCATTTTCTAAAATACACTTATGACTAACTTCAGCTAGAGCATATAGTCAATATTAAATATTAAATGGAATTGTGTATACCCGAGTAGTTTCGGAGTATTCAATTTGCTATCTTTCTCTTGCTTATAGCCAAGAAAATCTCTGGGATCATTTAAGCTGTAAAACTAAAATCCAATGTATTAACTAACCATTGTTGTTTTCATTTGTGTTCTTTAGCAATGAAACTGGGACCAGAAGCTTTCAGATTTGATGGTGGAGTGGAAGCCATTGCTACGAGGCAGAGTGAAAAATACTACATCTTGAGACCTGAAGTGATTGAGACTTATATGTACATGTGGAGATTAACCCATGATCCAAAGTACAGAAAATGGGCCTGGGAAGCTGTTGAGGTACTGTCTTCATTTTAATTTCTATATATTTATGTTATCTTTTATAATTTTTTTGTTATAAATTTGGCAAACATGAATCTTTTTATATATGGCGAACACAAAGAGGCTTACATATTAAACCATGAATTTCTTTTATTCTTGTTTTTAAATGTGTGTATTTGTGTGTGTGTAATACATTTAGCATGATAATACCAACACTGGCCTGCTTGCCTGTCTACGACTCTTCTGAATCTATTCTGAGTATTTTTTAAAATGTTTAGTTGACAGACTTTGGTTTTATTTTTTTGGTTTTTTGCATCATCATCACTACTTATCTACATTGTTGTAGTCATTGTGCATTCTCATGGGTCTGATATTTTCACTGTCTCAGTTCATACAGGTTTCCCAAGTTATATATTTTTGCTTTTAAAAAATAAACATGTCAGGAAATACTAAAGAACTTTAAGGATCTTACCTGGTGCCTTACCCACTTTTTCCCCCAATTTCACTTTAAAATATTCTCAACACCAAAGATGTCTAACTCCAACAGAAACATGGGGCCCTAAACTATACATAAGGATCCCTGAGGGTTGCATATTGATTTAGAAAATCATATATTTACCTTATCTATGTTTTATTGTACCTCAATTTGTTTCGTTAAATATTTCGCATTTACATATTAATCTTATTTGAGCCATACTTGGGAATGTTGTGGGTAATCTGTAGATCAGGTACTTGGTTTTCATGCACATGAACAAGTGCAAAATTTTTTTTAAAAAACTGTAGTGTCCAGTGACCCAAGACACTCCACATAATGCCACTTTTTCTTTTTCCATCAGCAAATCCAAGGATTTAGCATGCTTGTTTTGTCTGCAGATTTTTCGTGCCACCATCTACATAAGGCACACTATCATGCAAACTTTCTTAAATTTATGATGTTGGGTTTTTTGTTTTTCAAAGGATTTACTACTAAGCAGCTAGACAACATAGAAATAGAGAGCCGAACTTAGAATCAGGAAGACTTGAGTTCAAATTTGGCCTCAAACACCTCACTAACTGTGACTTGGGCCTCCTTCGACTCAGGTTCCTTATCTGTAAAATGGAGATAATTACAGTACTTACCTTACAGAGTTGTTGTAAGAATCAAATGAGATAACGAATGTACAAACCTTCAAGTATTATATAATTGCTAGCTATTAGTAGTGTTATGTACGAAAGAAAGAGGTTTTTAGTAGATTAAAAGTTTACAAGTTATAGCTGCCTTATGAGTTAACCTTAGTCCTAAATGCCAACTACAGACAGCTCTACCTACTGTTTTAACTCTTGTCTTCTTTTCAGATTGATCCTGTTCTATTAGGTATATGAGTTCTTGCTCTTCTAGTTAGGGAACTCATTTAATAAAACTGGCTCAGCCTTCCAGAATCTACTTCCCCCAACCCTGGGTTCCAGGGAGTAGGAAGCCAGGCCAGTACAAATGTTCTACATCTACCTTTCTGAAGGGCTCTAGACCTAATGCCCTGGTTTGGCAATGTATGTATTTCCACATATTCTCTGGCTATGGATCTAAGGAAATAATGCCTTGTCCTCTGACTCTTTAAATTTTTTTTAATTTCCTCATTTGGTCTCTCAAGCTTTCTTATTCTGTGCTTCAGGTCTTTAACATCTCTTCTAAAGATCTCAGTGTTGTTATTTACTTGTTTCCATCACATCCAACTCTTTGTGACCCCATATAGGATTTTCTTGGCAAGATACCAGAGTAGTTTGCCATTTCCTTCTCCAGCTCATTTGACAGATGAGGAAACTGAGCAAACAGAGTTAAGTGACTTGCGCAGGGTCACGCAGCTGCTAAGTGTTTGAGGCCAGATTTGAACTCAAATCTTCCTGACTCCAGGTCTGCTGCTCTATCCACTGGGCCACCTAGCTGTCCCAAAGACTCTAGCCCTAAAAATTCTTCTTTCCTCCTCCACCCATCCTCTCTATTCCTGATTGGATTGCCTAGGGCAAATCCCTTAACCACTTAATAATGGGTAGCTCTGTCTTTCATGGTTATGCTACTTCATCTACCATCTAATATTTGGGTCTTTACCCAGAATCATAAAGCTAGGCCTTCATGGTCATGTCCTCCTGACTTTAGCCAAGCTGCTCTTTTAGAAGGTCTCCTGGGTTAACTTTTGGTCCTTATTTCTTATCCTGCATCTAAGGTACCCTCCTTCTGTTCAATTCTCATAGGCTTAGTTGAGATGACAGATATGACCTGGCACCAATGACTACTGAATACCTGTCCCAGGCCCAAATGTCCACTCTAACTCCTGTCTCTTTTTCTCAGGGACTTCACATGTCTCATGTCTTCCCCCATCCCCCCAATAAGTAATTTTTTTAATTGTTTTAACCTTTAGTAGACATTAATATTCCTTCTGTGCTCTTTCTTCTCACACTTGAAAAAAAATTCAGTGACTATTTAATAAACACTATGTTCCAACCACTGTACTAAGCACTGGGGATAGAAATAAGAAAAATTGACAGTCCCTGCCCTCAAAGAGCATACCGTCTAATAGGGGGAGACAACACACAAAAGGAAACTGAAAACCAGGATGGGGGTAGGGTAGTTCATCATGGGGTGTGTTATCTATGGAGTCAAAGCAAGTCTAAAAGAGTTGTTAATGGAAAATGGAGTTACCAGGAAGGTTGTGAGCCTTTTGTAAAGGAAGGCTTTGGGAAGAGTTTAGTGCTCTTCCCTTCAATCAGAGGGGAAAGGCAACTGAGGGCGAGTTGAGAAGCTGTAGAGTATCCAAACCTGAATCATTCTTCATGGTTATGAGATTTCAAATGATTAGCTTGTCCTGAGGAGGAAGGCATATTGTTCCCTGAGTTGAAACCAAGAAGAGACGTTTTCTCCACCACACCTCCCCAAAAAAAAAAATCAGAGTCTAGCAAAATACCCAGCAGAGTTAAGAGCAACACCTAAGCATTGATTTCTTCAGATTATGCCCCCAGTTATTCCTCCAATGTCTGCTTTTAGATCTTTTGACACCCAGACTGATGTGGGCCTGATAAGCTCCTAGTCCTTAGGTTTTTACAGTAATAGAACTAATGGTTTAAATTCACCCAAAGATTTTCAAGAAGGAAACCATTAAGCCTGAAGCATCTTCCTTCTGGTGTATATATCCTGATTTCCTTTACAGATTCCCTTTAAAGTAATAAACCCCATTCATCAATGGGTCCAATGGTATTTTTCCTCTCTCCTTTAGCATTAGTGTATGAAAAAATGCCTAGACTGAATCTGGCAGGCACCTAAGAAGTCATCTAGTCCAATTCCCTTGTTTTACAGAGGAAAGAACTAAGGCACAGAAAAGTGAAGTCACTTGTCTATGGTCACACAGGTAGTGTCAGAACTGGGATTTGAACCTAGGTCCTACAACTTCAAATCCCACACTCTTTCTGAATGCAGTTCTTGCTGCTTTATTTCTATACCATTCAGGCATTCTGATCTCTTCACTGGGTAGGGTACTGGATAACCCAAATAAGAATATGGCTACCCATGTTTCTTTACAAATCAATACCATCAAGATCTTTTCAGATGGGAGTTTCACTCCTAGTTTTAAAAAAGAAAAAAGAAAAAAGAAAAACAACCTTTGTGTTTGGCAACTGTAACTGGCATTAGCATGACACTCTTTCTTCCCTGGGACAGTTTTCTCCAAACAAATCATCTTCAGTGTTAGGACTTTTTTATTCTCCTTATAACTAGTTCTATAGATTGGACATGCACATCTGAAATAAAAGATAGGTATTATGAACAAACTGAAAATGAACATAACTTGACCTAAGACCACCAAGACAAAATACAATTTTTATTTTTTATGATTTTTTAAGTTTTCTGCCTCCTGGTTGAAAGTATTGATGTTTTAGTGTTGTTCTTCTGCCACATTTTAAGAATTTAAACCAGATTACTGATGTCACAGTCTATGTACAATGAAAATGTTTTATTCAACTGTGAAATTAAGATGATATGCTGGATTCCAGGCTTAAAGTCTCTTGTATAAATACAAACATGTCTGCTTAACTAGACAAGGAAATATTGGCGGGTGGGGAGGGAGAGGGGACATAGTCACCAGACAAAGCAATGTGACTGATGAAAATCTTGTGAGCTTTAGTCTCACACCCAAATTTTAAATCCTCCAAACTCCTATTTCCAGAACCTTCATTATAACTAGTTGTAACATTAACATCTCTCTCCAGGTAGTGGCTAGTATAGTTATTCCCATAAGCCACTACATCCACACCCCTCACTCTATACCTCCCACCTTTAAGCAGCCATGGGTTCACTTGCAATCACAATTGAGTAATGAGGACAAGACTACAATTACAATGCTCATTGAACTGTCCAGTAAAATCTTTGCTTCTTTCAGTTCTGTTATCAGCATCAGTAAGCATTGTTCCAAGAACTTATCAGAAATTGAAGTCCTTTTTTCTGGATACTGGCCTATTCTCTGGTCCATTCTGTCCAGGGTTTGCTTGCCATTGTCTAATAATAATCATAATAGATAATAATGTTCAAATCTAATCTCAAAAACCTACTATATAACCATAAGCAAATCTTCTTAACCTCTGTTTGTCTCAGCTTCTTCATCTGCAAAACAGGAATAATCTTATCACCTACCTCCCAGGGTTATTGTGAGGATCATGAGATAATAATTATAGAGCACTTAGCACAGGGCTGGCACACAGTAAATGCTATATAAATGTTGACTATTATTAATATTGTAGATTCCATCTGCAGATTATCTCAGAGAAAAGAGGAATTAGAAAATAATTATAAATTATCCTTAAGCTAAATTGAGAAGTAGAGTGGGATAGTGGACTCTCTACTTAGCCTCAAAGCCAAGAATACCTGGGTTCAACTCCTGCCTCTGCCGATGTGACTCTGGGCAAGTTCCTTAATCTCTCAGTGATCTGTGCACTTCTGTAAGACTATATTTTGAAAGAAAAAAATATCAACCTAAATTGGTAGAAAATTCTCTCAATTGGGAAATCACAATACCAGTCCACATCCCTAAAATTAAGTATTGGAAAAGTTAGTACTTTTTGCAAATGGCACTTCTATTTATTGGTGTGAGATGTTCTAGCTATTAGTCAGCTTTTCCTGTTTATGATTTATAGTGTTATAGTTTTTTTTTTATAAGTTCCTCTAATGGATCCAGCTAGTTTAGATATTTGTGGGGCCCAGGATTCTTTATGTCTATAAAGATCAAACTTTTCATCTCTCATTTACAATTTCCTTTCTGCTCCCATATTGTTGACTGGCCTACATAGATGAGCAAAGTTGCATAGTCAAGATTGGTAATGTCACATTGTCACAGTGGCATTGTCACAAATTAGGAGCTTTATAGTAGAGTGAGCAATTTATATATATATATATAAAATTTTAAAACTTGGAGAAAAAGAGATTATATAATCCCCTTATTTTTCCAGAGATGGAAACTGAAGCCCAGTAGGGTTATTTGACTTGTTGATGTGGCAGAAATGTGTGTGTTATCTCTTCTCTTATACAGCTCTTTTAGTCTTACAAATCACTTTTCTCACAGCATTCCTATGAGGTAGTAGCTCAAGTATTATAATCACTTTATATGTGGGGAAACTAAGGTTTAGTTGACTTAATAGTAACTTACACAGTGCTTTAAGGTTTGAAAAGCTTGGACAATTTACTTTTTTTTTTGACAATTTACTTTTTGTCCTGTGCACTTTTCATTTATGATTTCTTGAAATATAGCTCTGAACAAAGAGGCTTTAATAAAAGACCATTATGTTTCAAATGGAGCTACTTGACTAACCTTTAAACCCAAATCTCTCTGACTTTCATTGAATGGCCAGGAACATTTCCAGCCCCAAGCCTCTGTGGCTCATTGTTTAGGTTTTGATGGCTTAGAATGAGTATAAATAGCAATTATTTTCAATTCTGGTCAGAAACTCTTGAGAGTCTTCCCCTTCTAGATTGATATTTTTGTGGTGGTAAATTGGGCCATCTTTGGTCTCAATTCTTACCTGGCCTTTAGTCATTGAATGGGTATTGCCTCCTGAAAAAAAAAGACCTTAATTTTAAAAGGCCAAGGCCACTCGTTGCATCCTGGACCATCACCAGTTGTCCTGATATTTGCCCTGAATTTTGATTTTTACTGGAGGAGAGAGTGAAGTTGATGACTTTTCACAGCTCCTATTCAAATCCAATTCACACACAAGTCAAGACATCACCCTGGCGATGTCGTTGGTCCTCTTTGAGAACTTAGAATGAACAATAGCAACAACAGCAATAAAACCACACTACAAGTAGCAAAGGTAGAGTTTTAACTCATGCCTTCTGAATTCTGTTGCAGCAGTCTTTCTACCACTATACCACACTCACTCCCCTAAGCATGTAAGTCTACAGAACCAGAATTTTTGTTGTTTGGTATCTTTTATTTGTATAAGAAATCTATGTCCTACATACCTAGATATAGTGAAAATGAATCCACACATCCTAATGATAGTAGTCTTAATCCTGAGAATGTTCCTTCAATTTGTAAGTCAATCCCTAAGTACATTTCTTACATAGGATGAAACACATTGTCACATTTTGAGCCAGACTTCTAAGGCTGCTTAGCTTTTTTTGGTTTGCATTTTTAAATTCTTATTGAAAACTTGGTGACAAGAGATTCTCATTCCACTTGAATTGTAATTAGATTTGGATCTGGCAAGCTAATAATAAAAATTAATGAAGGTTCATTTGCTTAAATGTGAGTGTTTTTTTTTTCTCTTTCAAATGTAGGCACTGGAAAAACACTGCCGGGTAGATGGAGGCTATTCTGGCCTCAGGGACGTTTATCTAAAGCAAGAGAGTTATGATGATGTACAGCAGAGTTTCTTCCTGGCAGAGACCCTGAAGTAAGTAAAATACATTCCAAGGTTAATGTAATTTATAAATATAAAGTAGCTTGACAAGTCATCTTTATAGATGCCTATTTATCATTAAGAAAGGTAAAGCATGGTATGATTGCAATAGTATGGCTTTCTTATTAATGGCAAAGGCTACTATTTTAAACTTAACCAAATGAATTTAAATTTATTTTTAGAAAATTCTGTATTCCTATTTAAATATGTAATGTGTTGACAGTTTTGTCTGGAGTGTGAATCAATTGGGGAATCCAGTTTATAGTGGTTTATACTATAGCTTCTCTGCCCATTCTTTCCTCCTTACCACCCTATTACTTTTGATCTAGGTCCTAGGGAATTCACCAGGAAACCCTAATCTACATAGAAACTGCTACATGTATATTATGTCTTGCCACAGTTCTGTTTGGAATCTCAGAGTTCATTAATTCTAGAAATATATTCATTAATTAATTCTAATTGTTACTCATCCCCTTTCACTAACCTATTCCTCCAACCTACCTCCCAGACTCCTGTTTCTCTAAATAAATTCCTGCCATCCAAAATTACTGCCTTAGCTATAAATATTACTTAACTCCTCTGCCATTTTTTCCTATTCTCCTAACCCTCTCCAGCTGAGCTTTACCCTTCTCTAGTCTTGATTCTCCTCTATCTATCATTCTGCTCTCCTTTTCCACTATGCCCTTTAGAAGACCCATTCTAGGATAGATAAAAAATTTCCTGTAACATCCTTCATATTTTCTTCTTTTGCTCCATCCACCTCACATTAACTGAAACATGATCTTCCTTTGGGAAAATAGCATCGATCGCAATTCAAGTTACAATAACACATTATGAAAACTATTCATCCTGTCACTCTCCCCAGCTTAATAGACCAGGAAGAGTGGATATGCTTTTAGTTCCTCATAGAATTTATTCTGCCACTCAAAAACCTTCTCAATTGTGTTCTTGCCATCTAAGTATACTACCCAATTTTGTCACTGTCATATTCTGATCTCCAAGGCACACTATCAGTATTCATCAGTTATTTTGTGATGTGGTTCTTCCTCATCCCAATCCTTAATGACTTGGTTATCAACTTCTTGATATTCTTTGACCTCAGAAGTCCTCATCCTTCTTTACTCTTGTACCCTCTATTTTTCCTAGTGATCAGCTATCCATTCCTTTTGTCTTCTTTACTGACTCTTCTTTCTCTTTATGACTCCCAAATGCCAGAATCAAACCCCCTTCTTCAAGGAGTCTGTCCTCTGCCCTCCTCTGTATAAGTGTACTCTTCCTTTTTCAATTTCATCTGCTTGCATGGTTCTAGATCTCACCACCATGCAAATGATAAAAAACAAGATTTCTGTCCTCAGGATCTTCCCTTGAGCTCCAAACTCGCATTTTCATCTGCTTGTTAGATAACTTCCACTAGAAGTTCCACTGGCACCTCAGATTCACTGTGTCCAAATCAGAATTAATCATCTTGCTCTAAATAGCCTCCTTCTCCTTAGCTTCCCTGTTTCTGCCAAATATATCAGCATTGTCCCAATCACCCATACTCATAATATTTGTATTGGCATTTTCTTCTATTAGATTATTAGCTCTTTGAGGATAGAGCCTTTAGCATCACTTAAACTTTGTTCTACCACAGTGCTCTGTATGCAATGGCTACTTAAATATCTTTTTTATTTGGTCTTTGAATATCAATAATCTCTTCCCTCTCCTCAGCACCTATATTCAATTTCAGTTTCAAAGTTCCCTCAGTTCTAAATTCTGAATATCTCTCACATTCTTTCTGTTTCTAACGCCTATGCTGGAGTTTAAATCTTCATTATTTCTCAACTGTGCTATTGTATTAGCCTTCTCAAGGGCTGCCCTCTCTACAATATCTATCCTCCAAACTAGCATCAGAAGAATCTTCCTAATGCACAGCTCTGATTTTGTCATTCCCATGTTCTGAAAAATGTGCTGTTAAATATCATCCAGACTCATTAACTTATTCAAAGCATCCTTTCTAGCATTATCTTATGCTATTTCCCATCATGCACTCATCTTTCCTGCCTCCTTGGCTTTGCTCAGACTATCCCTGAGACATGGAATGTACTCTTCTCTGTATCTGTCTATTAAAAGTATTCCCAGTCTTTATGATTCAATAAAAATGATGTCTCCTTTATGAAATTCCCAGAGCCTACGTAGCATATCTGTTCTCCAGTCCCTTATAGCATTTATGACACTCTTAACATATTTATTTGTCTATCTGCCTTAATCATTTGCTGGATTATAAGCTTATTGGGGTCAGGGACCATTTCTTATTTGCATTCATATAATCCCAGTGCTTTTGCACATTGTGGAAAATAAATGGTTAAAGGGAATTGCAGCAAGTTGGAGCTAAGACCTAATCATCATTATCTTGAATGTGTAGCCCAGTGCCCTACAGCACACCCAGTCCAAAGTTGGCTAGTTGGTGGAACCTGGTAATTAATAATCCAACCAAGGGTAATTTAGCTTTCCAGTATCTAGATAAAGTCAAGGAGGATTATAGACCTGCAGAATATGACAAATTCCATGCAGAATAGCCACATTAAACCTTTTCAGTGGTTTAGAACAACATGCCCATGTATACATACACACATGAGCCAAACCATTCTCAAAAATTAGCCAATAAAAAGTAATGGAAACTTCAGCTATGCCAGAAAAGCTTCTATAGCAAAGCTGAGCTAAGGCAGGTGGCTATTTTAAGTGAGTCCTCTTAAAATTGCTATATATGTCTTAGTGGATACATATCCACAGTCTATCATTTGACTGAGGAATGATTACACTCTACTGAACTGATTTCAACTTACCAAACAAATAAGAAACTCATTCACAAACTATAATGGCAATTGGTAATTTAAAAAGAAAAATTAAACTTGATAAGTAGACCAGAATACTCATGCCTTCCAGTTGGCACATCCTTTTCCCAACAGGAAAATTGTTATTTATTTGGGAGTAGGAAATTATACCAAAAATGCAAATAAACTGCATCTCACAACCAGTACATAAGGACAAGAAAAATGTTGGCTTGTAGCCTAGAGTCAGCTACCATAGATTTCGGCCACAGGATAATGATTGGAGTTAAGCATATAAGGAATGACGTTAGAATCATGCTGACTCTGGTAATTATTATACCAGTTGCATAGTTCTGCTCGTTCAAAACACATAGGAGAGTTATTTAAGTGTTCTTCAGGAATGATAATCTGAAATTGGATCAAGGATTTAAGATTGTGATACCAGCCAGTGATAATGGCAGTATTAGTATACTCTGCTATTCTTACTTCTTGTACAAATTGTGTGGGATTCCTGTGGGTTCTTGTCTAAGAGACTTAAATTACTGGGAAGCATAGGTAGGGGAATCCATGTTTGTGTTTGTCCCAAGAATGATTGAAAGAATCAGTCGATTAAAAAACATTTATTAAATGCCTGCTATTTGCCAGACCCCTTACTGGGCACTAGGGCCACAAATACAAGGATGAGCCAGTCCCTGACCTCAAGGAGTTTACATTCTAATAAGAAGAAATAACATAGAGGTACCTATAGGGAAATAGTGGCCAAAAAAGGGAGTTTTGGTCTTAAGTGGACCCATAAGGCATTTGATGGTCAAATCCTTTGCTGTAGCAAAAAAAAAAAAAAAAATCATTGATTTGATTACAATTCCCAAAGCAAGAAGTGGAAAGTTACTGAAGAGTAAAGAGAAGATAGCTATACATACAAAATAGGATAAAAAATGGCAAAAATGCCCCAAGTAGTCCCAGATTTTTTGGTGTGTATCTGGATAGGGTATGAGACATGATCTAGGTAGGACTGGTTAGATTTGGTATGTTAGCTGAGCTTGTACTCACTTATTACCAATCAGGACACCTCTGCCAGAGGTTGATAAGGCATGGTCTCTGCAGATTGTAAGATAGTATTTCTGTTTTTTTTTTTTTACCAGAGAGCATTGTCTATTTTGTCATCTTACCCTTTGATTTGGGAGTCCATCTTATTTTAAGTCTTGTAGTCCTTTAATCATTCACTACAATCAACAGTATTTGAAATGCCATTAACCCTATTTTGCAGCAAGACAAATAAATCTAGTCATTAATCTAAGTCCTGCTGTCATCTCTGGTTCCCTGGGAGAGAGACAGATGCTATGCTCCTAGTCATGGAACCAAGAAAGGGACGTGCAGAATTCAAAAGTCTGCACAAGAAACCTAAGAGTAGAGTAGGAGACTCTTCCTTCCTCACTTAATCAGCCCTAACACCCCAGAAAAGATGAAGAAATCTGACATAGAAAGGCAAGGTGTGAGTAACATACCCGTTTATCTTTTGGACACCTCCTTAGGATGAACTAGTGCTTGTGAATTCCCTAGAAGGTGATATTTCTTTCTTGATGTGTAAAAAAAAAAACTACTAGATTTATGGAAATTTTGTCACAAGTACTATAACCATTCCAGCAATTTAGAGGCACCAAAGCCCTTATTAACAAAATGGAATTATTAAAATCAAAAAATAACATTTTAGATTCTGTTAATGATAAATGAAAATTTCACTTTGATTCATTCAGATTGTGTAAGTCAGTGGTTGATTATGAATCTTCTCAATCTGAGGAAAACAAGGAAAAAATAATAATTAATATTTTGGATAAATTTCTGCAGTCTTTAGAGGGGAAGGCACCAAGTCAAGTTTCAAGTCCCAAATTCTCTTTCTCCCTCCTTCCCCTAACCCCTCCTTGAAAAGGCAAGCAATTTGTTATAGATTATCCATGTGCAGTCATGCAAAACATTTTTCCATATTATTGTCTTTGTTGAGTCATTTTTCAGTGGGGTCTGACTCTTCATGAACCCATCTGGGGTTTTCTTGGCAAAGATACTGGAGTGGGCTTGCCATTTCCTTCTCTAGCTCATTTGACAGATAAAGAAACTGAGGCAAACAGGGTTAAGTGACTTGCCTAAGGTCACACAGCTACTGTCTAGTGCCAGATGGGAACTCAGGAAGATGAGTCTACCTGACTCCAGGTTCTACACTCTATCCACTGCACCACCTAGCTACCCTATTTCTATATTAGCCTTGTTGCAAAAGAAAATAGATTAAAAAATAAAAAGAAGAAAAAAATGTAACATTCAGACTCCATCAGTTCTTCTCTGGAGGTGGATATCATTTTTCATCCTAAGTCCTTCAGTATTGTCTTGAATCCTTGTGTTGTTAAAAACAGCTAAGTCATTCACAACTGATTATCGTACAATATTGCTGTTACTGTGTACAATGTTCTCCTGGTCCTTCTCACTTCACTTTGCATCAGTTCATATAAGTTTTCCCAGGCTTTTCTGAAACTATCCTGCTCATCATTTCTTACAGGACAATAGTATTCCATCACAACAACTTCTTCAGCCATTTCCCAATTGATGGACATCCCCTTAATATCCATATTCTAGAAGTTATAAATATATATTTACTTATAGGTCTTTTTTCTTTAATCTCTTTGGGATACAAATCTAGCAGTAGTGTTGCTGGGTCAAGCAGTATGAACAGTTTTACATCCCTTTGGACATACTTCCAAATTGCCCTTAAATGGTTGGATCAGTTCACAACTCCACCAGCAGTGCATTCGTGTCCCATTTTTTTTTTCATATCCCTACCAACATTTGTCATTTTCCTTTTTTCTCATATTACACAATCTGATAGGTGTGAGGTGGTACCACACAGTTGTTTTAATTTGCATTTCTCTAATCAGTAGTGATTTAGAGCATTTTTTCATATGCCTATAGATAGCTTTGATTTCTTCTTCTGAAAACTGCCTGTTCATATCCTTTAACCATTTATCAATTGGAAAATGACTTGTATTCTTATAAATTTGACTCAGTTTGCTATATATTAGAGAAATGAGACCTTTGTCAGAGAAACTTGCTATAAAAAAAATTTTCCCAATGTTCTGCTTTCCTTCTAATCTTGGCCACGTTGCTTTATTTGTGGAAATACTTTTTAATTTAATGTAATCAAAATTATCTCGTATATCCCACAATGCTCTCAATCTCATGTTTGGTCATAAGTTCTGTCCTTATCCATAGATCTGACAGGTAAAATATCCCATGCCTCCCTAATTTACTTATATCACCATTTGTCTAAATCATGTACCCATTTTGACCTTATCTTAGTATGTGGTGTGAGATATTGATCTGTACCTAGTTTCTGCCAAACTGCTTTCTAGTTTTCCCAGCAATTTTTGTCAAATAGTAAGTTCTTGTCCCAAAAACTTGGATCTTTGCACTTATCAAATACTAGGTTACTATGGTCATTTATTACTGTGTATTGTGTACCTAATCTATTCTACTGATTCAACACTGTATTTCTTAACCAGTACCAGGTTGTTTTGATGATTACCACTTTGTAATACAATTTGAGATCTGGTACTGCTAGACCATCTTCCTTCAAATTTTTGTTTTCATTGATTCCTTAATATTATTGATCTTTTGTTCTTCTAGATGAATTTTTCTAGTTCTATACAATAAATTTTTGGTAGTTTGGTATGACACTAAATATAACATTTTAAAGAAAAAGGAAATTTATACTTTAATTTTTTTATCAATCTCTGTTTTAGTCCACTCATTGTTTTAATGTATGGAAAACGTGAATGGGATACTGTAATTTCTACAAAGGTTTTATCCAACTATCTGAAATTATTAAGCATAGAAAATAAAACATGGCACTACAATTTAATAATATAGTCAAATTTTATTTATGTGAGCATAATAGTTGGAAACCACATATGGGTTTTAAGAATTGGGATTTTTTTGGATCATTTTTGGTTATTTGACTGCACAAAAGGTTTTTATTTTGGGAGTTTTGCAATGATTAGTCTTTTATAGAAATTGTTCAGTACTCTAACTTTACACTTTTTTTAATCCACTTACATGAACATTATTTCCTTATATCATGAATACAAAATGTTGATGATGGCTTTGATTTTTGTGTCACTTCAGTTAGCTATTTCTTCTAATTTTTTTCTGGGATCTTGTAGGGCAATGAGAAATAACAGTGCAATTGATTCAATATTTGCTTCTTTGTCTTTATTTTGTATTTACTTGTATATGAACATATTTTTTGCCCTCAATAGAATGTAAACTCTTTGAGGGTAGGCACTATTCCATTTTTGTCCTTATATCCAATATCTAGCACAGTGCCTGGCTCATCAGAGGTCTCTAACAAAGTCTTATTAATTAATTGATTTGTTCTATTTACTACATGATGTGAGCCCTCTAATGCAGTTCTAATACAACTGGGTTTCTCTTACCAGATATCTCTATTTGCTGTTTTCTGATGATGATCTCCTTCCACTGGAACATTGGATTTTTAACACTGAGGCTCATTTTCTACCAGTTCTCCACAAGAATAATCAGGAGGTGGAAGAAAATCACAAATAAAAAAGATTCTGAACGCATTGTTTTGCTGCATTCCTTTAATTTCCCTACACACCTTGAGAGTACCCTTTCTTTTATTCCAGGCACATTGCAAACTTTTATTATAATTGGTGTGGTTCTTCTGAGTTCTAAACAAATTGTTTTGCAGTCCACTATATTTAATAGGAAATATTTGTAATTGGACTTAAATTCTTCATTATGTCTTCAGTTCATCTAGCCAATTGAGCCACTCAAAAAGAAGAAGAAAAAAAAAAGAAATTTGCCATCTCTAGAATTTATGAGGTTGTTGAGTCACTTTTGCCAAACTGAATAAGTGGGTCTTAAGGTTTAAGGTGACCTGTTTACTATAATTTTAATTTGACTGCAAAAAATTTTTCCTCCTCTATGAGGAGATGATGTCTGCTTTAAGCTGTAATATTTTGCCATGTTGCAAAAAGCCATAATAAATTAATTATTAAAACAGCTTTTTTTTCTTTCCAATTTCATGTTAATTTGGTTTGTCTGTTCACCCAAGACGAATCTTGTAACTGTGACAGCCTCTGAGGCGGGTCTATCATTATTTGGTAGAATGTCTTTTAAATACTTTCCTCACATTGTAATCTAAATAAAAATCAACAGAGCTATTATCATCCCATGTTGACCTCATTTTCCTTAGAGTTGCAGTAGATTTTACTGTAACTCAATTGCATTAGTGTTTTGAATTTGTGAATTTTCTTCAAATTTTGTTTTAAATGTACTGTATTTGTTGCTACCTGGATCATTTCTTCCATTTTCCAACATATCATAGTATGAATTCTAAAGACAGCTTAGTGTGAGCAAAATAAATGAATTTGCAAAAGTCTGCTATAACTGAATTATTCTTTTAAAAAGGGAATAGAAATAGAAAACTATTAATTTTTGCTTTTGATGGTTATATGAAGAAATTTGGTCATTTTAAAAATAGAACAAGTACTTCATGTGACTTTTTGTTGTTGATTTCTTTGCAATTAATCTCTGTGATTGTATTTTTTTGGGGGCAAAATATTCCATTTGCTCCAGATTATGAACAAAACTCCATTCAAATGTGGTAAATTATTTTAATGTAGATAATGTGAGTGTTGGGTTTCAGCATCATTAAAGAAGATTATCATTCTAATATTTATTCCTGGTCAACTGACAGAAAATCTAAACAATCAGCTCCAAAGGAGCTGAACCCTTCATAATGTAGCATTTCAAACATCTCTACATATAGGTCCCAATTTACTGAAACAATGTGTATCTGTGCCAAAAACCCTGTCCATATTTTCTTTCTGTTTTACTCTATTTAGTCTCCCAATTAGCTCCAGAACTCCCAAAGAAGCTAGCTGTTTTCTTTTCCTTTGGGGAACTAAAGTACATGATATCAGCCAGCTCCTCTCTCAAATTTAAACAAGATAGATAGTAATAACAATAGATGTTCTATATCTATATACTTATGTGGATATATAATTGGAATATTAATGTATGGCTATGACCCTGAGATGGTAATGTGTTTCTTTGATCTGGAGTAATTTCTCCCAGGTCAAAGAATATGTGCAATCATGTGTGTGTGTACTCACACATACTATTTAAAAAAAATAGAATCCTTCACAGTAACAACTGTTATCTGCCCTAGTTAGGCAAAATAATATTTTGGTTGATCAATTATTTGAATTGATAAAAATACAATAAGCATTAGTTAGAGAATTTAACAAAATTAACATGGTTAGATCCATTTTCAATTAGAATAAAGTAAAAATAGACTTTAATAATGATAATAATTAACCTTTTGTGATTCAGAAAGTACCTCATAAAAAATATCACTTTTCATCTTGGCAATGGGCAAAAGTCCTAATTTAGATCTGACTACAAGACAGATAATAGCTTACTTTATATGATGTTCCATAAAATGAATCTGATTGAGTTCTCTTAGACATTGTTGGTCCATAGAAATTAAAATTTTTATGTGTCATTCAGAAGGAACAGATTTTCCAGGATATGGATTTTTCCAACTGTGTCCCTATCTGGAAGAAAGAGCCCTCTTTGCAGAAGGGAACAATTTTTTGCCCTTTCCATTTCATTCTTCAAATCACACTGTGATCTAATTTCACTGGTAATATGATTCTATTTTTTTTGTGAGGCAATTGGGGTTAAGTGACTTGCCCAAGGTCACACAACTAGTATGTGTCAAGTGTTTGGTCTGAGGCCGGATTGGAACTCAGGTCCTCCTGACTTCAGGGCCAGTGCTCTATCCACTGAGCCACCTAGCTGCCTCGGTAATATGATTCTTAAAAGAAAAAAAATAAATTTTTGAATTGAGGGCACTTTTTTCTTAAAAAAAAAAAAGGAGAATAGTTTTGGTTTCACCATCTGTTTTAGTACCATATTGTTTTGCGTTCATCAGCAAAATGGTCAATATGATAATATCTACATATACTAAAGAACCATCAGTTTTTAGTCAGCTAAATTTTCAATTGAGACTTGTCAAATATACCAGGACAAAGCCATGTGCTTTAAAAGAAAATGAATAAGGCCACTCATTTTCTCAGGTCTAATTAGACTTAATGTACTCAATTAATGTTGTTTAATATTAAATGTTTCCAAAGACCTCCTTTGTCTGAATCATCTTTATGTAGTCTACTATCTTTTTATATCTTCTACTTATGGATCAGATAGAAAATATATCAATAAGTTATTATTGGTATGATAATGTGTTTCTTAAATCTGGAATAACTTCTAGGTACAATTTTAACTCTTTTAATGAAGTAAATACACATATAATTTATTGTGGAAAGTGAAGCTAAGAGATAATGCATGTATTTTCTTTTTTTTCTCCCAAGCCTTTAAGATAATATAGGCAGGGCTGTTGCTGAAATTGGGCCCTTATGTGTTCAAATTCTAATTTTCATGTTAGTTTCCATAGAATGAAGAATTTAAATAAATGTATTTTCTTGATTTCAAGTTTTGATTTGAAAGAGCACAAAGCAGATATGTATTTCTGCAACAGATAGGGTTTTAAATTCAGGTTGTATGTAAAAACTGCACTATAATGTACCTTTTGTATCCTGGTGTAAGTAGACAAGAAGATTGTAACACATATTACTCTGCCGATGGCAAGGTTAACCTTTTGTAAATTCTAGAACTTGGGTTTTTAAAAGAAATCCCCAAACACCAAAAATGTATACATGATAAGGGATTAATACATGTTATTGAAACTTAGCTGGTAATTCTTAGTTTTGAAAGTTTTAAATGACTGAAATCTTTATGTAGACATTGCCTTTCATTCCTCTTCAGCATAACGATGCAGTTAAGTTTACATATGTTGACATTTTGAAAGAAGAATAATTTAAACAGCACCCAATTTTGTTGCCATGAAATGTTTTCTTTTGGATACAATTTGTGAAATTAATATTGCATTTATCTGTTGTCTGGCAAATCTACAGTACCCAATGGTGTCTGTGATGATTTCATCATGTGTTACCCATTTCTATACATCAATTGTGTTTTGATTTGTATATAAATCTATTTAGTCTTTTTCCAAATTTATATAAATCTCTAATGATATGAAATGCATAATAGATCAAGACATACTTTTTAAGAGCTATATTTGTAAAATTTCTCTATGGTGAATAAAGTCTTTTAATATACCTTTCATTTGTTATCATTTTTTCTCCTTTTAAGTAAGCAACTCTTAACAGATTTTTGTTTGTTTCTAAGGGTATATCTACACTTGCAATCAGTAAACCATAATCAGTTAAATGAAATTAAGCCATTCAGTGGTAGTGATTTCCATACTGTGGCCCCTTTTTCTTATATTGCCTCATTGCTGTTTTTGTCTTTGATATAATTATTGTTTCTTTGAATTGTTCTATGCAACATTCAATCTTCACATTTATATTATTTGTATCCATATAATTCTAGACCCTTTATTTGAATTTTCTTTTTTTTTTTGGCAATTGGGGTTAAGTGACTTATCCAGGGTCACACAGCTAGTAAGTGTCATGTGTCTCAGGGCCCAGATTTGAACTCAAGTCCTCCTGACTCCAAGGCTGGAGTTCTATCTACTGCACCACCTAGCTGCCCCTAAATTTTCTTTTCTTGATTATATGTTTCATTGTACTGTGATCATTAAAGGACATGTTTAATATGTGTACTTACTTTTCTACATCAGTGTGACTCATTTATACCCTAGCACCTGGTCTATTTTTATAAAGTTGTCATACAAGGTAGAGAAATATATATATACTCCTTAGGAATCTTCTTCAGTAATGACCAAGAGTTTATTTAACACATCTAACATCTCATAAATTCTGTTCAAGTCCTTAACTCCTTTGTTTATCCTTTGTCTAGGTCTGAAAGTGGCACATTAAAGTCTCCAGCAATTATTGTTTCACTGTCATATTTATCCCTGAAGTTCAATTAGATTTTCTGATGTGATATCATTTGTCACACACATTTAGCACTTATGTTATTATCTATAGTGCCTGTAAGTATATTGTAGTTTTCTTGCTTATCTCTTTTAATCATTTCAATTATGATTATTGCTTTGTCTGAGCTTATAATTGTCACCCCTACTCTTTTAGATTGACTTGATTCACAGTAGATTTCTACTCCTACCTCTCTGTGAATTTTTCTGTTTCTTGCAAACAATATATTGTTGGATTGCTTTCTAATCTATTCTGCCACCTTTCTTCTTTTTATGGATGAGTTCATTCCATTTATATTCATTATTATAACTATTAAAAGTGTTTTTCTCACCATCATATCCTGTTATGATGTTTGTTCTTTTTGACTTCTATCCACCTCTTTGGGAAAAAAAACATGTAGATAGGGACAGAAAGGGATTGGAATAAACAGTAGTAATATATAACTAGAGTAATTTGATTTTGCTGCTTTGACAGACCCAGATCACTAACTCACTTTGTTTTTATTTTTTCTTATTTTAATCCTCCCTTTATAATCATTCTCTCATAGTTGAAGTTTGTTTTGCTTGCATCTATTCTCTCCTAAACTGTACTCTGTCTCTTAAAATCCTAAGTCTAACCTCTGTGTGTCTCTGCTTATTTCCTATTGACTTTAATGTATTCCTACACTAAATTCTGGGTATGTGTTCCATCTTTCTTTAACTCAAATAAGATTGAGATTCATGAGATGACCACTACCTCCACTACATATTCATATATTCTTCTGAAACCATGCCTTTCTCTACTCCAGCCACTGTCCTCCACCTCTTCCTACCTGGAAACTTGGACTCCACACCTAGAATTACTGTGGGCTCTGATAGATAAGCATTTACATTTTCTTTCCTGGATCCAGGCCTCCACCTCACTTTCCAGCCATCTACAACATGTTACCACCATGTACTATCACCCTGCATCTTTTAGCTCTTCTATTTTTTCTATCTCCCATTAGAATGGAAGGTAAATGCTGACTTGCTCATTTTATATTTGCATCCTCAACACAGT